TAAAAATGTCTTGATGGATTTGTTTCTTACAAACATGCAGCTTTTCACTTCATTAATTGATGGACTGGAGTGGTGTGGATTTCTTGTGGATTATTGCGATGTTTTTATCAGCTGTTTGGACTCTCATTCTGACGGCACCCATTCACTGCAGAGGAAGTGATGAAAAGCTAAATTTCTCCAAATCTGTTTTGGGTGAACTATTCCTTTAACATGATTGATACTAACACTTTATCAATGTAACTACTATTACTTTTGGCACATACATGTTCCTTATATACCAACAGATGGTAGGCAGATTTGTACTTACTGTATGAAGCTAAATTCTCCATTATAGTTACAGTTAATCAATAATGCTTGACAATTACTGCAATTTCATCAATCAGCAATCACACTTCACACAGATTGTAAAGTATTTCAAATTCATTTAAGCCTTTCAAATTCATGTTTAAGATCCCTTGCATCACACTCAGTCATATGACCACAAAATTCAGCATGTCATTCAAAACAAGATTAGCACATTTATATCTACTGTATGTACAATGATGTAAAACAATATAGTTTTTGTATAAAAAATATTTAAAGTCTATGGGATGTTATATAAAGAGGGCATAAGAGAGCGAATAGTCTGGAGTGAACAAGTAAAGGATAATGTAGTTGATTAGTCATAATCATACAATATTTTGTTCCAGAGAGCTGTGTAATAATAAGGGTTGTTTTGTATTGAAAGTCTAGCTGGAAACTTTAAGGGTGACTTAAAATTGCAAGGTGGGAAAAGCAATCACTATAATGCTAATCATTCCTTTGTAAAACAGTACATTGTGTTCAGTCTTAATGAAGACCATCTTTTTAGAGCACAATCAAAATAACCAAGCTAAATGATTATTGTGCAAAAAAAAAAAAAAATCTAATTCAGGATAATGACATCATGTTCCCTATTACAGTAATAGCACCGAAAGAAAAACAAATGGTCATTGTCACAGAGTCACTGTGTATTAGATCTCTCTAAAATATACTACAAATGTGGCCATACATTGTACATATTTAATTTAGCAATTTTGACATACCTGTAAATGTATGAATCCTACAATTATTTTTGGATTTGCAATGCTGTTGCATGATAGCAGAGTCATTAAAAAACATCTAATCTACAGAAAATAAACTGACCCACTGTATTTGGACAATTGTATGTGCTTACTGAGAATTTAATTTCAAAACCATTGGCATTAATATTTTATTGGTTTATTAGGAATTTGTGTCCAAATACTTTATAGCTGAGATTAATGTTTACAGATCTATTAATGCCTCCTAAAATGTCTTTACATGAAATCATACACCACAAATGTTCTCTTCCAACTGAATATCAGTTTGTCTCTTAAACATAATGAAAAAAATGCAAGGAAAATAAAACAGAAGAAATCCTGCCCTTGACCTGTTAGAAGAGGTTTGCAGTTTTCTTAAGTACCAGAAAAAAGGCAGGACAACATATCAATGTCTTCTCATGTCAACAAATGTCTTCCTATAATAGTGAGATTATGAAAATACAAACAGGCTTCTGTTTTTAGATGCATGTTTTGTTGTTGCTTTTGTTGATTTTCTACTCAGTAGCAATGCCTCAGAGTCACAAATACACAGAACGCAAAGAAAAACGAACCCTCGTGCGGCTGAGCCGCTAACTAGCTATGCTACATTTCTAGGACGGAGTTGTCTGGACATCTTTGGACAAACAATATAAAGTACAAAATGTACATGTTATGATCACATGCTTATCGCGTCACCACACTTTTAGGCTTCGTCACTCTGTTAGTAGCACAAGATGACAAGATGAGTTAGGCAGTGCTTAGAACTCACGTCACAAACAGACCGGTGGTGAACTAGTGAACAGCAAGTCGTGTGTTTTGTTCTTCTTTCGTTCAAGCACTGCACAATTCAGGCTCTGCTCCATGTTTTTTTTTTTTTTTTTTGCAGGGAACAAACTGGTTTGGGGTCTCCATCTTCATCATCCACTTCATTTGACCTGAAGACTGAGAGGAACATCTTTGTTGTGATTTATTTTATTCAGGAATCACACGTTCAGAAAACAAACAATAATGCTGAGTTAACCCATAACTAGAGACTCTGAGTTGTACGTCAGGGAAGCGTGTGCAAACTAACCTGCTGGCAGTGTTGTTAAAGAGGATTTGGGTACACCTGTCGAGGGTCATAGGTCATTTCTGGCATGTATTGCTCATGTAGCTCAGCGTCCAGCGGGAGGCCATCCATGGGTAAATCAGAGTAACCATATGGAGGGTAAACTGCATCCAGATCTTAGAGAGAGAGATCAATTAAAGTTACAGTAATTATGCCATCATTGCCTTAATTAGAAATTCTGTAAAAGAATAAAAACATCTACTTCAAGCAATTTGATATAATGGAGGACCCTTGACATTGATCGAGGGCTGGTTAATGAAGTGTAAGTGACCGAGGGGGATTTCAGATGAACTAATTCAATGAATCCAATTGCCACACTTGTTAATACACCAACATTCAAGCAGAAACACACACACACCCCTGAGGCCAGAGCAGAATCGCCTGAAGAATCAGATGGAAAAACACCCTTACCCTCAAACTTCATATGTCATATTTATAATAGTACATGGAAAATGATGTTTGTTTTGTACGAGACAAAATATTACAGCTGTATTATTTTCAGTAGATTTTTTATAGACAGTCCAAGACCTGCAGGGAACAAAACATTCTTATTTTGAAGTGAAAATGTCAAGTTAGACTAATAAAGTCAGGCGTATGGTTGACGTGTTATTTTTACATGTACTATAATTTATTATTTAATCATTCCATGAAACAGCCTCTTCATTATTCATCATAAAACAATAATTTACTGAACATCATTCTTACATTCTCATTCTGAATTAGTTTATAGTCTATTGCTATCATGACATATAATTTAAAGACTACATTTTCCATACAGATGTATTTATTTTAGACTTTCATTGTGAGTGCCTTTTTTTCAAAGTGTTTTTTTTGCTAATTTTTACAAAACATATTTTATGGCTGAACAGTATCAGTGTGTAACAGGATCAAACAGGTCGATCTGGTTTCAGTGGGTTGTTTTTTATTTCCAATTTCGACAAACGAGTGAACAGCACATTGTATACTTAACGTTTCCTCACTGAGGAACACAGTATTCTGTCAGTTCACGGGAAGGACTGACAATCAAACCGCTCTTGCGCTTGATAAATGTGAATTCAATGACTGTCTCTCTTTATCTTTTCGTCTTTGACCCTTCTCTCACACGCATACGCATGCCATAACTCATTTGTCATGTGGCATTTTATTGTAAAGCTCTTCACTCTAATGCAGCGAGATGTGCCGGATAAATAGGCAATTTGCGGTGGTGTTGTGTACTAAAGCAGAAAGATGTGCTGGGCTGTCGACTGTGCTCTCAACTCACCATCTGGTATATATCCAGGGTCGAGTGGCATGGCGGCATGTGCCTGAAAGAATATGAATGCAAACACATTCATTAAAAGCTTCTTTCATAACAAACAAAAATATGATACCATTGAAATATCGGGAAATATCAACTTGAGCAGCAAATCAGCATATTAGAATGATTTCCGAAGGATCATGTGACACTGAAGACTGGAGTAATGATGCTGAGAATTCAGCTTTGCATCACAGGAATAAATGACATTTTAAAATATTCAAATAGAAAACAGCTATTTTAAATGGTAATAATATTTCACAATATTACTGATTTTACTGATCAAATAAATGCTGTGGTCAACAATTCACTTTCATTAGGACATATCCATCTCCTTTACATATACGTCGTCTCCTATCCATCTCATTTACATTTGCAACTGTTTATAGTATTACACAGTGGCCCCAAAAAGTATTTCTAATGTTTTGGACAAGTCACACACAAGAAGATTTGAATGTTATTGCATTAGAAAAATATCAAACCAAGTTGTATCTGCAAACATGACAGTTCTTATGATAACTAACATCGCTTTTCTGAGCCATTTTTCCAGATCTACACACCAAAAATGCCTAAAAAGATCCATGTGCATGTGACAATCATATAACCGTTTGCAGTATAAGAAACCTAATTGACACCGACACACTGAATTATTGAAGAAGAAGAAGAAAAAAAAAGCACACTGTTTCACATCAGGGTTGAATTACCAATTGGGTTTGCATTCATTTTCAATAATTGAAAGGTATGTCGTCAATTATGCCATATCAATATAATTATTTCATCATGATTGCTAAAAATTGATACCGCATACACAATTCGAAATGATCTCATTAATAATAATGTGCACTGTGCTGGAGTGCTGTGTGACTCCTGAATAAATATATTCACCATTTCCCAAGCTGCAGGGTCATGTTTGAAGAGGGAATGGGTGAGCTCCACCGACACACGCTTCCTGTAGTCTGAACTCTTGTCCTCAGAGATGCGGAAGAGAACAGCTGCAGCATAGGTGGCTGAAGAAGAGAGAATGATTATCACCAGATTTTTGGATGTATGATATGATACATGATAATTATTTACATTTTATTATGGATTATTATTATTATGTAATTTTTATAATGCATGAAATATATTTACTGAATAAAAGTGGAAAGAAAATAATAATAAATAATAAATAAATAAATAATTACATTGATAACATATGACAAATAAAAAGGTAAAAAATGACAGTAAATACTTTTACGCTGTTACAAAAGATTTATATTTTAAGTAAATGCTGTTCTTTAGAACTTTCTTTTCATCAAAGAATTCTGAAAAAAAATTACATTTCATAATGTAACACACACACACACATACACACACACACACACACACACACACATATAATGTATAAATATTAAATTATTATGTAATATTAAATAATAATTTATTATGTAATATAAATTTATATACAAATATACAAATAATATATACAAACACATATACAAAATACACTTGCTGAACTATGACTTGAATGGTCTATTGCCTGTCCTTAAATGTCACACCAAATCAAGTGAAGTGTAATCAAGTGATGTCATGCCAGTCAGATGGCCTTCTTATATGTAAACAGACTTTTTAACCAAATGTATTCCTGAAAGTGAAATCTTTCGCTTGTGAACTTGTGGTCTTTTGTGTGTTCTGCTTCTTTTCTATACTGACGTGTGGCACCAAAGTCAGCGTAACGACATGCTGTATGTCTGACAGTGTTTGTCTACCGCAGACTGTCATTGTCGAGCAGATACAGGAGAAAGTGTCGGCAGTTTATGAAAGATGCTGGTATGAAACTGTAAACACAAGAATGCAGAATTGCCAGTTTTCTGTATCAGCTTACTTCCACTAGGAGTGTGATGAAAAATCGGGGGAAGGTTTGCACAGTTTCAAATGGTTGTACAGACTATGATCTGTCCAATTGCATATGGCTATTTTCTGTGTTTTAACAACATGAAGTGACACATGTAATTAGTCACAAGGTATGGCAAGCTGTTTTAACATTTAATCCTTAAAATGTACTTGTATCTATTTTAATGCTACTAGTACTTTTTTTTTAGCTTCTAGTATCTATTCTCTTAAGTACTAGTACTTATCCATTAGCCACTAGTGCTTAATCTTTGATACTAGTGACTTTTTAAAGATACTAGTACTTATTCATTTGACACTAGTTCTTATTTATTAGATACTATCAATTATTTCAATAGTGACTAGTAACTACATTACTGTTACTAGTAACACATTTAAAATTTTTACCATTGACCATCTGTCATTCAGATATTTAAAATATTACTAATAAGTATTCATTAGATACTAGTACTTATTTATTAAATACTATTACTTTTCATTAGATACTAGCTCCTATTTAATAGATACTAGTAGTTGTTCATTAGGTACTAGTACTTATTTATTAGAAACTAGCATCTTTTGTGATTGTTTCTAGAAACAAATCTTATTATACTAGTCACAATTGCTTTTTAACTTGTCTTACGACTAGTCAGAATGGCCACTGTAGAGTTCAATTAAAAACCTCTCTAGTGAAAAAAAAATACAATTTGAATAAGTACTAGTATCTTATAAATGTGTACTAGTATCTATTGAAAAAGTATTAGAAGCTAAGGATACACTTTATTTTAAAGTGTCCTTGTTACGGTGTAATTATACATATAAGTACTGAATAATATTAATTAACTACATGTACTTACTATATGGTTAGGGTTAGGATTTGGGTTTGGCTTAGGGTTACTTGCATGTAATTATACATAATTAATTGTTATTATAATAGTAAGTACATGTAACATGTGTAACAAGGACACCTTAAAATAAAGTGTTAACGAAGCTAATCAATAAATATGAGTACCTATTTAATAGGTACTAGTATCTAATATTAACTACTAGTATTTAATAATAAGAACTAGTATCTAATGAATAAATACTAGTATGTAATGAGTAAATACTAGTGTCTATTTAATAGGTACGAGTATCTAAAAACAAGTACTAGTATTTAATGATTAAGTACTAGTATCTGAAAATAAGTACTAGTACCCAATTATATATACTAGACTCAAAATGGAATATTTGATATATGAATGACAAATCCCCATAGACGCCAATGGGAAAAATTTGAAATGTGTTACTAGTAAAAATAGAATAGTTACTAGTAACTGCTGAAATATGTACTAGTATCTAATGTCTAAGTACTAGTATCTACTTAATAACTACTAGTATCTATTAATAAGTACTAGTATCTAATGAATAAGTACTAATATCTAATAATAACTACTGGTATCTAATGAATAAGTACTAGTATCCAATAATAACTACTAGTATCTATTAATAACTACTGGTATCTAATGAATAATTGCTAGTATGAAACATCTAATGAATAGGTACTAGTATCTAATAATAGCTACTAGTATCTATTAATAAGTACTAGTATCTAATAATAACTACTGCTATCTAATGAATTAGTACTAGTATTTAATGAATAAGTACTAGTATCTATTTAATAGGTACAAGTACCTAAAGAATAAGCACTAGCTAACGAATACATACTAGGAAGTAATGGAATATATACTAGTAGGTAAAACATAAGCGCTAATAACATGAAAATAGATACTAGTATGTTTTATACATTAAATGTATACATGTTATACATATATGTTTCATAAGTGTTAAAACAGCTTGCCATATTGGGGTGTGGCATTAAACTTTCTCTGGATGGGCATCACTCACCAATCCCCTCATTGGGAGAGTGCAGGAGTTCCATTAGAGGTGCAGATGCTCCTTCTGCGTCAATCATCTCAGCAGACTGCTTATCCAGAGCCAGTTCACACAAAACACCGGCGGACACACGCTTTATGTTCTCCACATAGGAGTACAGAAGCTAACAGGAAACAGGAAGTCAAAGAATGAGAGGGGTTAAACACACAAAAAAACTCATCTGTGCTGTTTCACTACTGCTTCATCAACACCTCCATCTCATTACAAGGTTGTATTTTTCTAAACAATCTTGCACTTATGTACCTGCTTCCTATTTTTTTTGTTTTTTAAGTTACTTTGGACAAAAGCATGTACTAAAATAATAAATGTAACATAATGCACAGTGTTTTGGGAAGCAACTAAAATGAGTGACAATAGTATTTTTCAGTGTTGTAACATTCAATACTCTGTCGCTTTTTCAGTAACAAGCTACTTTTCCCAACAAATAGCAACTAAACACTACATCATTTTTTTTAATGTAAAATTTTATTTTGCACAAATACTTAACAACATAATTGTTAACACTCTCTTTCTGTCAGTTTGGGGAAATATGATTTTAGTGAATTGGTTCATTCAGCAGATTCATCTATATGAATCAATTCAGAACACTGAGTTCCTGCACATAAGCAGTGTTGTTAAAGCTAACACTATTAAGGATCTTTTTCGTTAATTGAAATAAAGCTGAAATAAAACAACATATAATATATAATACAATATAATATAAATATGAGATCAAAAGTTAGATGAAAATATATAGTTTACTATAATAATAAAGTGTATTACAGTATACATAGTATACTATAATAATAAATATTATAGTAAATAAATAAAAAATAAATTTAATATTCAAAATAAATAAATGCTATAACACTGCCTTTTGTACCATTTGCATTATTATTTAGTATGTATGTCTTCAAATTTAACACTGTGACCCCACTCAAACTGCTTGTTGTTGTGCCAGAAAAATGTGTCTCTAAATAAAAAAGATATCATCTGATAGTTATGTATTTCAAAAATATATCACACCCTTATGATATTTTGTTTATTTTATTTAATTTAATTTTTTTTGCTTGTAGCTTAGCTCATTTCTTTTTCAAAAGAGTAGCTTGACTGTATTTTAAAAGAAAGCTTTAAATGTAGCTTCGCTGACACTGGTAGCATAATATATAAACACAGACAAACACACAAATACAAACAGTAGCCAGACGCCCCGCAGTCATCACCCGCAACCCCCACACATCACAACACACACAGATGAACCGCTTTCACTGCCAGGACTGCCATAAGTTGGTTCAGTACTTGCACAAACAGAGGAATGGTCTGCATGCTGGCGATCTCCCCTCGGTTGAAGGGATCTCTGGCTAGTATATGCAAAGCGCCCGTACAGCCTTCCACGATCTCCTCCATTCGCACGCCATCCTGTGAAAAAAAAAAAAAGAGTGAAAGTGAGAAGAGAACATTAACTCTAATGCTAAAGGGACCTGGTCCATGCCAGATACTGGGACCTTGATGCTTATTAGATTATATTTTGTCCTCCCTTTGAGGGCTTCGGCCTATATGTGAGGGTGAATAAAGAGGATATATGAAAAATAAATGCACAGGTATAAAAAGCTCCAAACGCACCTGATAGGTCTGCTGGGCCCCTGAGCCGTGTCTTTGAGTTTCCTGATGAGCTTTCAATAGCAGGTTGACCAGTCGAGGGATTGTCCCAGATTCTCTCAGAGGCGCCTGATTGGCCGGACACAGGGCCAAGTTACGAATCAAACCCACTGTGGCCTATAGTGCGAAAAATGCATATAATTAATTACTGTTTAGAACAATTTCAGTTATTTGTTTGAATTTTCTTATTGCTTTCTTATACTCATCAATGGATTAATGCAATGGTTTCCAAAGTAAATAAAAATTGCTCTAAATAAAAAAAAACTTTGCTCGGTTTCATTTGAATATCATTTCAATAAACACATAAATAAATAAATAGCTCTGAAAAATAGAAATAAATAGCTCAGATATTTTGGTTTTGGAAGAAGTTGATGTGAAATCTGATGAGTTTATATTGAAATAATATTTAAATATCAAATTTTTTCTTAAAATACCTAAAACAGAGAAAATAAATTTAAATAAAAAAAGAGAAACCAAAATAAATAATAATAAAAAAAAACAGTTTCAATTTACAAACAAACAAACAAGCAAACAATAAATGAGAAAAAAAAAAAGCTCAGATAATTTGGCTTTGGAACAATTTGATGTGAAATTCAATGAGTTCATATTGAAATTCACTATTTTGATTGCAAAATTAATACAAAATTGTTCTAAATAAAAGTTGTCATTATCATATAATTTAAATATAAACAAAATATAAATAAAATGCCTAAAATGGAGAAAATAAATAAATAAACAAACAAACAATAAATGGGATAGATTAGCTCATATAATTTGGTTCTGGAAGAATTTGATGTGAAATTGGGTGAGTTTATATTGAAATTAATTGAGTTTATATATTAAATATCATATAAATATCACCTTTAGCTGATGTTTTTTCTTAAAATGCCTAAAACAGAGTAAGTGAGTAAGTAAATACATACATTGAAATAGAATAGCTCAGATAATCTGGAAGAATTTAATGAGAAATTTTATATTGAGATGCGTGCTTTAGATTGTCTCTGTATCTTGGCGAAGCCGAGCACACTGAGCTCCAAACACTTCCTGCCCTATGAATCTTATTGTGGCCTATGAAAAAACAATTTGAAAAAGATCTCCTTTGTGATTTTTCTTAGTGATGGGTTTAGCTAAATTATCTTTAACACAATGAACCGTGCCCCACTTTTGTAGCACCGTACCTTTTCAAAAAGACATAATCTTAACCTAAACTCATTTGTTGTAAATTCATCATTGTGCAGCTCCATTGTAAGTCCATTCCTCAAACCTTTCATCATCTTTAACAACTGACTCACTCTTGTAAATCCCAAAGTGCTGACTGTCGACTGTCGAAACCCAGGAGACATTAACATGATGGCAACCGAGCAACGTTACTTGCAGCAATAATGCTTTTTTAATTAAAAATCTGAGCTGAATATAAAGTTTAGGTTGATGTAAGACTGAATGCAACCTCAAATGTTTATGGATGCATCAATGCACATGTGAGTCTTTGTCGGTGAAATCACCTGTATATCACTCCACGATATAGTTCAGAGAAATGTCATGCATTTATGTGAAGTGTTTGTCATTTTACTTCTGCCTAACCATCTGTGCACAAAGAGCCTTGAGTAAATGCTTAATTTCAGCCTCCTTCATCACGCATCATTAGTCAACAATGTTCCTCTGCTGATTAGAGAACGCTGGCTGATAGTGCAGATCTCCGCAGGGTGGGACGACAAGCCATGTCAAGCGCCAAAAACGCCTGCAAATAAACATGACGCAATACATTCCAGACATTGGGCTCTCATGCTTGTTGCATTAGTGATCAAACCAAGCCATCAGCCAAACTGAGGTCCAACTGTAGTACATAAGGTCTGCATGAATTTCATTTGTGAAACTGTTGAACTGTTTTCTGGTTTCTATATAGGAGCCATTATAAAATAAATAGTTCTGGCTCTAAATGAACCATGTCCAAATCAGTAATAAAATGAATAAAATTGGGCCATACTACTACAATAATTAGGCTACAACTATATTACTAGGAAAAATATTTCATTAATTTGGTTTTATAAGAATTGGTTTTATATGAATAAAGTTCATATTGAGCAATTCTGAGCACAGTTAGAGATGTTGTTGAGAGAAAAATATGAGAAGCAATGTGCAAAAAAGAAAAACTGCAAAAAATGCATATAATTTACTGTTCATAACATTTTCACGAACCTAGTTGTTAATGTATTTTTTATGTGTTATTTCTTATTCTCACAAATGGATTAATGCAATATTTATAAAGTAAATAAAATGTACTCTAAATTAAAAAAATAAAAAAATAAAATAAATGGTATAGAATAGCTTATACATTTTGGTTTTAGAAGAATTTGATGAGAAATTTATATTGAGATGTGTGAGGCATTGTTAAGATAAATATGAGAAGCAAATATAAAGATAAAAGTTAAAAAAGATAAAGATAAAAATCAAATAAAAAAAATACTCTCCTATTGCTTTCAGAATAAATATTTCAATATCATGTTTATCTGATGTTTTTCCTAAAATGCCTTTAGAGAAAATGAATGTGACTAGTGAGGCAGGGCCGAGAGCCATGGGAACGGAGCGAGGCCAGTGGAGTTAATGATAATGAGTGACACCTGCGCCACTCACCGGTCTCGAGTCCCACGGAGGAGCTCCGGAAGGATAAAATGAGGAGTAACGACAGTAAAGGACGAGAGAGGACTAGGCCTGGACTTTATTTTGTGTGTGTCAGTCGTCTGTGAGGAGCTGCTGCTTTACTTTCATTTTGTGTTTGTTTTATCATTCCCGCCACCTTCTTCCCGTGACTACGAACGTTTGTTACATTGGTGCCGAAACCCGGGAGGAAGGAGGGACACGCTGCCAGAGACCCCACGCTGCTAAGGGGGGTCGCGGTGCTGAGGAGATCGGGCAGTAGGAAGAAGCAGAGACCGCCAGTGGCTGCCCGAGGCGGTGGTGCTGGAACGATGGAAGACGAAGTGGGACGGAGAGCTCGCTGCCGCGCTCCTGGGTCGAGG